TTCTATTTAAGGAACTCACCACACATCAATAGAGATATAACAAAGGGCCTATGTTCAAAGAATTCACTGTCTGACCATCCTGAAGCAGCTGGCTTAATAGAATAGTAGAAAAGACTTTTATAGACTCAGCTACTAGGAGTTGTTTTGAACCTATTCTATTTCAGGGGGCTGACTGGCTAAAAAATAATAAAAATAATAAGGATTTTTTTAAGACTCAGTTACAGTACCAGGTAGGTGGTAATACCTTGCAGAGCCTGGGCATGGTTCTCCAGATGGCTGTATATACACCGAGTCAGCATCTAATATATGGTTTTATTTCTCCCACAGCCAGGATTCACAAGTCCGGGAATGAAGGGGTAGAAATGATAGTGGCACCACTGACCATTAACCCTAGTGACCCACCAGCAAAGATTTTTGCTTCTTGTTCCCAAGGTTTTATGCTCTCTGCTTGCTTGGAGGTCTTTGTTCCAGAGGGAGAAGTGCTTCCACCAGCAGACACAAGTTCATTGAACTGGAAATTAAGACTGCCATTCAGCCACTTTGGACTCCTCGAGCCTCTGGGTCAGCAGGCTGAGAGGAGTCATGATGCTGGCTGGGCTAATTGATCTGGACTGCCAAGACAAAATTGGACTGCTGCTTCAACATGGACATAAGAAAGAGTATGTGTAGAATGCAAGAGAACCCTTAGTGTGTCTCTTAGTATTATCATGACCTGTGATTAAGGTCAATGGAAGAAACTACAGCAACCCAATCCGAGCAGGACTGTAACTGGCCTAGATCCTTCATGAATGAATATTTGGGTCACTCCACCAGGTGAAGAATCATTACCAGTTGAAGTGTTTGCTGAAGGCTTTGGGATACAAAATGGCCAGTATAAGAAAGTAGTTATAAACACCAGCTAACAGAAAGAAGGACTGTAATTTTCATGAATATTTCTCCTTATTTTGTTAGCAATATGCTTGTGTGTATATATACCTATATGAAGTAAATATATTTATTTTCTTTCATCTTACTCCCTTATCATGTAACATAAGATGTATTGACTTTTTTTATCAGTATTTAAGTATCGTTAATTTTACAATATATTACTGAAGTTACGGGAGATCCAAAGAGTAAAGTTTACCCAAGAAGTTTACCTCCTCTTCCAGGGAAGGGATCAGTGAGTTTCAGTTGTAGGCAGGGTAGTTGTATCATTGTGGGATAAATTATGACCTTGTTAATGTCTTTATTTGGAGATTAATTACGTTTTAAGGAATACATGGGTGCCAGGTTGATAAACGGTGGATCTGTACTGGTTAATTTTATTTGTCAACTTGATTGTGCTAAGGAATGTCCAGAAAACTGGTAAAGCTTTATTTCTGGGTGTGTCTGTGAGAACGGTTTCAAAGCAGATGAGCATTTGAATCAGTGGACTGAGTGAAGTTCTGCCCTCACCAACGTCCAATTCATTGAGGGCCTGAATAGAACAAAAAAGCTGAAGGAAGGCACATTTTCATTTTCTCCCCTTGAGCTGGGACGTCAGTGTCCTCCTGCCTTCTTCCTAATTGAAGCCTTTGGACTCAGTCTGAGTTACTCCACTGACCTTCCTGGGTCTCTCAGATCGTGTGTCATGGCAACCCTTAGCCTCCTTGATTGTATGAGCCAATTCTCATAATAAGCCTCATCTTATTGTTTGCGTTTCTCTGGAAAACCCTGACAAATATTTCTGTTATGAGTCTACAGCCCTCTTGGTCTCCCCCTGAATCTCCACCACTACCTAACAGAGAGAAGAAATTGTTAGCATTGCAATTCAGTTCAAGCGTGATCTGATCCGATAACAAAGAACCTTGCTATTCAGTGTGGCCTGAGCCCAGTGCACCAGACTGAGCTGAGCACTGGCCAGTCCCAGGCCCCACTGCAGTCCTACCGAATCCAAATCTGCATTTTGTAAGATCTCCAGGTGGCCTTCATGCACAGGGAACTTCGAGAGGCACTGAGACAGGCCCTCCGAGGCAGGGTGCGGTCTCTGATAAAAACGCTGCGTCTCTCAGGCAGTCTCCTTCTTCCCTGCCTCTTCCTTTCGCCCTGGGCCACTCTGGCCAGTGGGCCTTCAGGACTGAAGACTGTCACTGACTCAGTGTGGTAGACCCACCAGAGGCCTGGCAAAACTCCCACTTAGCCTAGTTTGTGGTCCCTTGGCACTGGCTTTATGCTGCCCAGAAATAGAGCCCTTCTCTGGCAGGGCACACAGCCTGAGTCTCAGCTACTTTTGGGCCCTGCTCAGGCCATGTCAGGACCTCAGGCATCCTGGTAAAATGATTCCTGAGAGCCTGCATCTGACGACCGGGGCTCGCACTGACTTATCTGTGACATCCCTTAGCCTGGTGTGGCAGTGGCTGGTATATTAGCCTCTCCAGGCCCCCAAATAAGTCAGAGGGCAAGATCAACTATGTTGAGGTAGACCTTAACTTATCCGAAATATTTTCTCCATGACCAAAGCCCAGAGAGGGAGTCAGGAGGCACACAGCAGAAGCTTCTCCTTGCTTTCCTGCTGTCCATTTCAAACTTTCTGTATTAATCTACTCTTGAGCTGTTAATGAAGACTCGGTAATCTACAAAGGAAAGAAGTTGAGTGGACTCACAGTTCTACGTGGCAGGGGAGGCCTCACAATCATGGCAGAAGGCGAAGGAGGAGCAAAGTCACACCTTGCATGGCAGCAAGCAAGAGAGAGAGAGCTCGGGCAGGGAAACTCCTCTTTATAAAACCATCAGATTGGGCTGGGTGTGGCGGCTCATGCCTGTAATCCCAGCACTTTGGGAGGCTGAGGCAGACAGATGACAAGGTCAAGAGATCCTGGCCAACATAGTGAAACCCTGTCTCTACTAAAAATACAAAAATTAGCCAGGCATGGTGGTATACACCTGTAGTCCCAGCTACTTAGGAGGCTGAGGCAGGAGAATCACTTGAATGAGGGAGGCGGAGTTTGCAGTGAGCTGAGATCATGCTACGGTACTCCAGCCTGGACACAGTCTCTGTCTCAAGAAAAGAAAGAAAAAGAAGGAAACATCGGATCTTGTGAGGCGTATTCACCGTCAGGAGAACAGCACAGGAAAGAACCATCCCCATGATTTAACTACCTCCCACCTGGGTCCCTCCCACGACATGTGGGAATTATGGGAGCTACAATTCGAGATTTGGGTGAAGCCAAACCATATCATCCTCCCAGCCTGGCAGGTGGATGCTCAGGAAGATGAGGGCCAAGGTGAGGAAGCACGAGAGATAAGCACAGTTACTGTGGTGTTCTTCACACCACTGCATCCAGCACAGAACCCCACGCAGAGCAGATGCGCACTGCCCACTGTGGAAGAGGCCCTTCACTTTTCTTGGCTCTGATTTTCTTATATTTGAAACATTTAACAGCAATAAATGTTAAATGTTTACTTATTGCTGTTAAATAAATAAACAAACCTGTACCACATGGGCATGATGGAGATCAACTGAGATAATGAACATCCAAGTATTCCGGCTGCAAACTGCCAGGCAAGTGTGGTTCCTCTGTTTTTCTGGTTTAGAAGGCAGTTTTGTGTTTACTACCTCAGCTGATGTTTACGACAACCTTTTGAGTTGGGTAGAACAAGCACAGTTATTCTCACTGTTCATGGTAGTCATGTTCTAGAAGGCCGCTGCAAACACTGAATGAGCACATACCGAACCCCTTGCTTCAGGGTTAGGTTCCTGGGAGCCTCTGGTCACAATATTTTTGTGAACTGATCAATATACAACCTTGTTTCATGTGTGTTTCTGTTTAAACATATTTTGTTTAATATAGTTTTGATTCATTAGCATTAAACCACAGCCAGCCGAGCTGTAAATCACAACTGGACAAAGCTTATCTAAGACGTGTGTTTTCTCCATAAGGCACATACTGGCCTTCCTGAGCCAAGGAACACCTGGCATCTTAGTGCTATGCTTGGAAACTGTTTTTGTTTGTTCGTTTGAGACAGAGTCTCGCTCTGTCGCCCAACCTGGAGTGCAGTGTCACGATCTCAGTTCACTGCAACCTCCACCTCCTGGGTTCAAGTGATTCTCCTGCTTCAGCCTCCCAAGTAGCTGGGATTACAGGCATGCACCACCACACCCAGCTAATTTTTGCATTTTTAGTAGAGACGGGATTTCACCATGTTGGCCAGGCTGGTCTCGAACTCCTGACCTCAGGTGTTCTGACCACCTTGGCTTCCCAAAGTACTAAGATTACAGCTGTGAGCCACCACACCCAGCCAGGGGCTCTTTTAAACAGCAAAATCATCAGAAAACAAAAAATTCAAAATTTGTGGCACGAAGTGAATACTGTGAAAATCCCCTATTTACACTACAAGAGCAGCAAGGAAGCAGAACGTTGGCCCAGGCCTCAGGACGCTCTTTTGTTTCACTGCTCTGCAAATGACCGGGAAAGCATCCTTAGTGTTGATCTGGGGGTTACAAATAAACGTTAGCAAGCAGAGGAGTTCATAAATACGGAATCCATGAATAATGAGGACCTGTTACCCGTATTTCACAGTCATTACAGCTAAAATCTTACATAACCTGCCCAAGGTCATGTTCATGTGAGTGGCTAGACAAGGGCTTGAGTCACACCTTTTGGTCCATCTGCTGGTTTCTCCAGCAACACATTCCTCCTCTTCTTTCAGCTGCCAGGGCCCACTCACCTGCCAGCTGTGTAATGCGGGAGTTACCTGAGCAACGAAATCCAAGCTCCTGATTCAGGAAAGGAATTTCTGGGCCATCAGAATCTAGTATGTGGAAAGTTCAGATAAGCCAGAGGAAGCCTCAGACGACTTCTTGTTTCCTCTGAGACTTCCACCAAAAAAATCCAGGATGAATAGGCTCTGTGCAAAGAAACGCAGTCACCCACACACGTGTTGGCTCTGTCTTTGAATCCTGTTTATTCCAATTCCTTGTAGAGTAAACGAGAAATTTCCAAAAAGCTATAGTGAGGAAAACAGACATAGCAAAATGGGTAAGCTTTGCACAGTGACAGTATTAGTGCCAGTGAGGTCTATCTGAGGAGCGATTATTGCTAATTGAAAACTTTTCCCAATACCCTGCCATGATGACTTGAAATATAGAATCATTGGCAATTGTTGACAGTCTCTACGGAGATTGAACTTCGTTGGATTCAAAAAGAAAAAAAGAGGAAAATGGATAAACGTCTTTTAAAACAGAAAGGGGAATAAAAAACAGCCCTAAGAGAGGGGGCTTCCCCAGATCTCAGGTTCTGTGAATTTTCACTCCAGTATTTTCTTTCTGCCATTTCTTTTTTTAGAGATGGTTTCACTCTGTTGCCCAGGCTAGAGAACAGTCGCGTGCTCATAGCTCACTGCAGCTTTGAACTCTTGAACTCAGAGGTCCTCCTGCCTCAGCCTCCCGAATAGCCGGGACTATAGGCATGCGCCACCTTGCCCACCTAAGTTTGAATTTTTTTTTTTATTTTTTTTTATTTTTTATTTTTGCAGAACGTGGTCTCATTAAGTTGTCTTGTCTGGTCTTGCACTCCTGGCCTCAAGCAATCCTCCCACTGCAGCTTCCCGAAGTGTGGAATTACAGGCATGAGTCACTGCACCAGGCCCCTAGTCACGCTTTAAATTGGGAACAAGTAATTATATGGCCAGTGGCTTTAAGTGCCATTAAACAATGGCCGTTCTTGGTTCCTGCCCCAAATTCCAAACGTATTTAGGCAGGGTCTGCTCAACGTGGAAGTCCTGTTTTTATCCCCAAACCTGCTCTTTCTGTAGTTTTCACCATCACAGAAAAATTGTTTCTCTCTTTCAGCTTTCTTAAAATTACATCTGCGAACCCACTTTTCACCCCCTCCCCTGCACCCGCCTTGGTCCAAGCCAGCATCCTCAGGCACTGGCCTCCTAACTCTTCTCGGTTCTTCTGCTATTGTCCCTCCTGCTGTATTCTCAGGACACCAGCCCGTGGGATTCTTTTCGACATTATTTAGATGACGACACTCTCAAAACAGTTGGCTGGCTTTCCATCTTACCCAGAGTAAAGGCCAAAATCCTACAAGTCCCTGTATCATTTGATCTCTACTTCACCTCTGGAACTTCACTCTCTCCTCTGTCCTCACTCCCTCTGCTCCAGCCACTTGGGCCTTCTTGGCTTTTTCTTGAAAAGGTCAGGCCCCTCCCACCTCAGGGCCTTTGCACTTGCTGGCTCCTGTGACTGTTTATATCTCTCTGCCCAGCTGTCTGCAGGCTCACTCCCTTCCCTCCTTCAAGTCCCTGCCCAGATGGCACCTGTTCACCATTTAAATCTTCCCTGCCCAGGGGTTCTGCTTCTGCCTGGTTATTGGCATCCCCTGTCTTGGGTAAGATCACCCAGCTGGATCATCTGCAAAGCCCGGCTGCTCCCCCGTGGTCTCCTGGCAGCAGCTTCTGCAGATGCAGAACCGCACTGCATGACCCAGGAGGAACGCACTCATCTCCAAGTCAACCTTGAATGAATGAGTGAGCGACAGCCAAGCGGATGGATCCCCAAATTCCAGTCTACTTGGGAGGAAGGTGGGAAGGAAACCCTTCCAGATGTTTTACCTTTTTCTCAGCTTCCCTTTTGCTTGTAACACTCATCACCATTTAACAGTGCATATTTATTGTCAGTCTCTCTCACCATAATGGGAACTCTCTGAGAGCAGGGAACGCTGCACACATGTTGTCAAAATCACCTGTGAGGCAGGCACTCGAATTGCCCCCACTTAGCAGGTGAAGAAACTGATTGTCAAAACAGTCAAGAAACAGGGCCAGGAGCACGTGGGGCAGATGCAGCCCCTGAAGTCCCTGCCCTGTTGTCTTCACACTCATTTCTTCCTGGGCACGAGGTGTCTTCTAATCCTGAAACACTCCAAGGAAGATAAACATGCACTCCAGCCCTGAACAGCCCTGGGTCTGTCTGCAACACACAATGACCTGAAAGAAGAGAGCAAGCAGGTCCAGCCCCAGAGCGCATCTGCTTCCAGTAATGAGATTTTTATCTTCAGTAGAACCACCAAGTGAGCATCCAGCAACAGAAATGTCTAGGAGAAACTTAAACTCTTTATCAATAGTTTTCTTTCAGAATAAAGGAAGAACAAGTAGGTTCTATTTTGCGAATTTTTAAATTCCAAGTTAAGAAAACATTTTTAAGTAGAGAGAAACATCAGCAAAGTTTTTTGGGTTTTTTTGGAGACAGTCTCACTCTGTCACCAGGCTGGAGTGCAATGGTGCGATCTCAGCCCACTGCAACCTCCACCTCCCTGGTTCAAGCGATTCTCCCGCCTCAGCCTCCTGAGTGGCTGGGACTACAGGTGCATGCCACCATACCCAGCTAATTTTTGTATTTTTGGTAGAGATGGGGTTTCGCCATGTTGACAAGGATGGTTTTGATTTATTGACCTTGTGATCCACCGTCCTCAGCCTCCCAAAGTATTGGGATTACAGGCATGAGCCACCACGCCCGGCCCAAAGTATATTTTAATAAACCTAAGGATAACCCTAGCATTGGAAAGAGAACCTCCCTCCTCAGGTGGAACTCAGTCACCGGGAGAGGACGGTGAACGTGGAGGCCACAACTGGGGGCCTCTGCCAGAGTCTCCTCTGACCACAGTTGGCTGTGCCCAGGCCATGCCAAGGGCCTGCCTGAATTTCCTTGTCTTGTGAATACATCCCGATTTTAGTCAAGGAGACAGCAGGTGCAAGAGAAAAACCCAGCACAGGGTGACTAAGGAGATTTCGGAGAGGAGTCGCTCATTGTCCCCATTTACACCTGCTGCTGCTGCTTGCAGGGTGAGGAGAGGGGAAAGCCAGGCCTCCTGGGACAGTTTGTTCCACAGCTTGGTAGCAGGAGAGTCCTAACTGTCAGCTTTGATTTTAGCTCGAAGAACGATTCGAGGAAGCTGATTCTCAGAGCCCACCACTGTCCCTTTTCCCTTCCCGGCTGGCTTTGCTGGGACCAACATCTATGAGCCTTGGTGGCATAACACACATAATGGACAGCAGGACAGCCACCTTCATGGGTTCCTGGGCTTGCCTTTCCACTTCTCTGCCCTCCCTGCAGGGCCTGGAAGTTCCTAAATGGCCTGAACCTCCATGTCCTTCATCTTCTTGTCTCCGGGGTCTGATGCTAAGCCTAGCCCAGAGTTATGCCAATGAGTGGGTGTTTAATGAAATAGTGGATTAACACTGAAGTCCAGATTGCTCGAGGAAATGTGGAACCAATGAGCAAAGCCTGTCCCTGCCTCCAGGTTCTGAGAGGGATGAAGCTGGAGAAAGAGCTGTGAATGGCCCTGAGTGGAGGAATCCTTGGGTAGTAATGGAAAGGCCAGTGCCTTCTACCTCTCAATTTTGTCCAGGGTAGCTCCTACAAAGGAGGGTGTCCACCCACAGGGCATGGGACCAAGGGCCCTTCACAGAATTGCCTGTGTTTCCAACGGCCTTTGTCACCTCAGCAGACTCCCTTGGTTCAAAGCATAAAAAGAAAGCTCCCCTGTTCTGACAGCAAAGGCCCCGTTGCCATCAGGGCTACAGAGCTAACTTCAGGAGCTTCTTTGGGCCTCACAGGAAAATGAGAGTTTCTGGGACAGCTACATGTAAAGAAAAATTAGCCTTTATATTTTAAAATGATAGGCATGCATCCTAAGGGCTTCTGATGGAGAGAAAAGCTTTTAAAAGGACCTTAAAAATACAGGATATCTCATGTCGATGGCCATGTGGCATGAAATCTTCAGTGTCCTTGATTAACCAGGGCTGCTCTGCAACCATGCATTCAGGCAAAATCTAAACAATGTCATCAGTCATGAAGTCCCCCTGCATGGGAGGGGCTGAGAAAGTCAAGGCAAATACAGGCAGCACAAGCTGTTGGGTAGGCACACACTTTTACCATCAGTGCAACATCATATTATTTGGGACATTTAGTATATATATAGAGAGAGATGGGTTTGAATACCTCTTAAGGATACAAAACACAGAAAAAGGACACAGAAAAAGAAAGAGAACTATTGGCTGGGCGTGGTGGCTCTTGCCTGTAATCCCAGCACTTTGGGGGTCCAAGGCAGTTGGATCAAGACATCAGGAGATTGAGACCATCCTGGCCAACATGGTGAAACCCTGTATCTACTAAAAGTACAAAAATTAGCTGAGCATGGTGGTGCACACCTGTAGTCCTAGTTACTAGGGAGGCTGAGGCAGTAGAATTGCTTGAACCCAGGAGGTGGAGGTTGCAGTGAGCTGAGATCGCACCACTGCACTCCAGCCTGCCAACAGTGTGAGACTCCATCAGAAAGAAAGAAAGAAAGAAAAAAGAAAGAAAGAAAGAAAAAGAAAGAAAGAAAGAGAACTATCTTAACATTTACCCAAAAAGCAATTTTTCTTTTGGCAACTCCCCATGAGCCATAATTATTTCAAGATAAAAAATTTAAAATTTAAAAAAATATCATTCTGTCTCAGTATGGAGGATGGATGAGGCTTTTGCAGAAGTTGAGGCAAGAAATGGTTTGTAACAGAAGTTTTGCAGAGGGAGATGGATTTGAAATGCATTTCAAAAACAGAACAGGACCTCCTGACAGATTAGACGTTGATGGGGAGGGGGAGGAGGAGGAATCGAGTCTAACTCAAGGTGATAACTTAAGCAGTTGGATCAAGGTTGATGATATATTTTTTGTTTCTGAAAAAAAAAATCATTGGGAAAAAAGATTCCAATTGGCTGTCACTACAAAATAACAAACCTGAATAAATATCTTGGAAACAATGTATCATTAGTAATATTTGAAACAAACAAATAGAAAAAGAGTAGTTTTAGTCCAGGAATTGAACTGAAGGTAGAAAATCTGGGGTTTTGTTTTTGTTTTTGTTTTTGTTTTTAGCATCAAAATGTGAGATGAGAAAATCTGGGCTCTAATCAAGGTTTTACTACAAATTATGTGACCCTGTTAGATTCACTCAATTCCCACAGAGCTTTGGTTTCCTCATCTGCAAAAAAAATGAACTAAATTGAAGAGCTCTGAAATTCTGGGAAACATGTGCTGTTAATTCTGAAGCTGGTTGACTCCTTTTTTACATCCTGACTGACTTTAGTCATGGTGAGTAGCACAATGGCTTGCATTTTCTCTGGACACTAATTCTCAG